ATATATATATATATATATATATATATATATACACACATATACATATACATACACATATATATTTCTGAATAGAATTATGCTGTTGATTGCAATAAACTATAGATCTTTTATTTTAATATCACTGTTGCAGGAACATTTGCACTTTGTGACAGAAATATCACAGGATGAGATTTTTATCCTGGATCCAGAATTGGGGGCAGCTCAACCAGCAGGAACACCTCCAGGAATGCCTGACCTGGTGGTAGAGCAGGCTTCTGGGTGAGTCTGGCTCTTGGGTTTCTGAATATTTTAGGTTCTCTTATTTTCATACACGGTTTTCCATATCTTTAAAGATGGATATCACATGGAGGTTTCTGTTCAAACATATTCTTTTTCTAAAGATGTTTTGCCCAAGTTGATCCTTCTGTTTTTTCAGGTGCTTTGAGCTGTAGCTTCAAATCATCATTGGCTATGATGAATGGCACAAAGCAACTGAAAGTCGCTATATCACCTACATCATATCTATATTTATACCTTCAATGTCTGTCATCACTGCAGTGTACAATGGGAGGGTGACACATTAATCTATTCCCTTCCCTTCTTTATCCAGTTTTCAGTTGTGCTTCTGATATTACTGGACTTCCAACTCCCAACAGCCCAAATATGGCCAGTGATGAGGGATATTAAGAGTTGGAATTTGTTGGCTTTTGAAGGGCTGCCATTCTAGACCTATGAGAAGTCATAACAGTATCACAACAATTGGGACCAGAATTTCTATCTCTAAGTGATGCAGTCATTTCCTTTTTTTTTTTTTTTGTAAATTTTATTTGAGTTTTCACAAAGAGAAAAAAAAATACAAATAAAACATCTTTTTTGAAAGTAGCATAATGCCGGGTTACATTTCTTCGTACAGACACAAATTCAGGTTCATGCTCATTTTTATATTCTATTCCATATCTTATTGCTATTTTACATTTTCTGCATAGCTTCTTCCCTCTTTTAATTTTCTCAATTTTATTTTAATTATCTCATCTCAATTCAAATCATTGTATTTATATTTTTTGTCTGTCCTGTGTCAATTATCTATTATCTTTTCTCATTAAACAAAATTTCTCCTGTAGTTACTGATTGGAGTTTGACGCCTTTATATCTTTTCCCTAAAGTTATAACATTCAATATAATACATAATTTCCATTCGGATTCTGCTTGGTACATTCTTAAAATACACACTGTATTCTTAAAAAAAGAAAAAATTATAAATGTTAAAACAACATTCCATTCCAATTCAATTCTATCATTAATATTAATATTCATTAAAGTCTTAACATCTTTAACATTACTTTTCAATTAAATATCATACTTCTATGGGAACAATTATAAGCTTTCCAGTCAATTCCCCCGTCTTCACTTATATTTTATAAAACATTAACTAATTAAAATGTTCCCGTTCCTTCCTAATTCAATTTTCTCATTTATTTTATTTCACTTATTTTATTCACAAACATTTCACTAAATTACACTAACTATTTTATCCTTCATTTTGATCATACATTGTTTCCAATTTTCTAAAGTTATTTCTATTACTAATATAACAATACAATCTTATGTACCTTTACAGAATACCTTTTTCAGTTAGATTTTCACCCATTATCTCTAAATAGGTCGTTTCTCTATATCTTGCTCCAGTCCTTTGTAACTTCTTTTCCTTTCCTTCTTCCCTCTCTTCTTCTCTCTCCCCCTTTTACCCCCTTGTCTCTCTACCTCTATTTCTCTCTTCTGTATTCCCCTTTTCTGTTGCTTTCCAGTATTATACTTATTTTTCAAATTATTTTTCTTTTCTTTGGTTGCTTTTTTAGGTCTTAAATTCTCCATTCTCTTTCCCCCCTTTCCTTTTTCTTCCCCACATAAATATTAATAATCAATTAATCAATCATTTGACTATACTTTTATTCATTCATGTTTTACAAGATAATCATAATTTACTTAGTTTGTTTTATAACAGTTCATATTATCACCCTAAATCTATCCTAAAATCATTTTGTAGATATAATAAGAAAAAAGTACATCTTTATATATTTATTATTTTCTAAAAGTCTACATATTTCATTACTGTATTTTATTGTCTAACCATTGATAGAATAGATCCCAAATTTTATAAAATTGCTTATCCTCTTGTTCTCTAATTTCAAATGTCAATCTGCTCATTTCAGCATATTCCAATATTTTCTTAATGATTTCCTCCTGTGATGGTGTTTTCTCATTTTTCCAGTTTTTGGCAAATACAATCCTAGCTGCTGTTAATACATTTACAATCAGATATTTCAAGTCTTTACTATATATTTCAGGTAAAATTCCCAATAAAAATATCTCTGGTTTCAAGTCTATATGGTTTTTTTTGTCATTTTTTTCCAACCACATGTGGATTTTAGTCCAGTATTTTTTAGCATCCGCACAAGTCCACCACAGATGGTAATATGAGCCAGGTGTCTGATGACATTTCCAACATTTTTCGGATTTATTTTTGAACATTCTTTCTATTCTTGTCGGGGGAAAATGCCACCTGTAAAACATCTTATAAAAATTTTCTTTATATGCTGTTGACATTGTCATTTTAGAGACCACAATTTTTACCATTTCTCTAAATCAATCCCATATCCAAAATTCTTCCCCCAAGCAATCATAGTTTCTTTAACTTGTTCTTCTAATTTAATTTCTAATAAATATCCATACCATTTTAAATCACCTTTTCATCAGTACCTGTCAAAATCTTATCTAAATCAGTCAATTTATCATAGAAACCTTCCATTTTAGAATCTTTATCATACCTTGAATGTATTTGTGCATATGAAAACCAATTCATCTTTATACCTTGTTCCTCTAGTTTTTGTATAGATTTGAGTTCACCCTTTTCATTCAATAATTCACCATATCTAACTGTTTGTTCCTTTTTGTATATTATAGGATAAGAAAATGCTTCAATAGTCGATAACCAGACTGGAATTTTCAAATAACATTGTCTTTTAATCTTCTCCCAGTTTAACCACAGAGACTCCCGTATATAATGTCTTCTAAAATACTCCTGTGTTTTAGTTCCTTTATACCATAAAAAAGCATGCCACCCAAACAACAAATCATGTCCTTCTAATGTCAACAATCTAGTATTTCTTAGTGTTATCCATTCCTTAACCCATATCAGATTTGTAGCTTGATAATACAACTCCCAATTAGGCAAACCAAATCCTCCTCTAATTCTAGCATCTTGCAAAAGTTTTAACTTTATTCTCGCTTTCTTACCTTGCCATATATATTTCAACACAATTTTATTTAAATCTTCAAAGTAATCTTTTTCAAACCTAACTGGAATTGTTTGAAACAAATATAAAATTCTGGGTAATATATTCATCTTGATTGTTGAAATTCTCCGTATTAGTGACAGTTGTAAATTTTCCCATTTTGCCAGATCTAGCGCTATCTGCTGTTTAAGTTTGATATAATTATTCTCTTTTAGTGTACTACATCTTGCTGTCAAATATATCTCCAAGTACTTGATCTTATTCGTGACCTGAATTTTCAATAGGTCTGCCAGTTCTTCCTTTTGTCTTAATAGCATATTCTTTGTCAAGATCTTTGTCTTATCTTTATTTATTTTCAAACCAGCCACCTTTCCATATGTCTCTATCTTTTCTATCAATTTTGATGCTGTTTCTAGAGGGTCTTCTAAGATGAAAACCAGATCATCTGCAAATGCTTGCAGCTTAAATTCTTCCTTTTTTGATTTTCATTCCTTTTATATTCTTTTCATCTCTAATATTTCTGTTTAGCACTTCCAAAGTTAACACAAACAACAAAGGTGATAGTGGGCACCCTTGTCTTGTTCCTTTTCTTATATTGATAGAGTCTGTCAGTTCTCCCTCTATCATTACCTTTGCCGTTTGCTTATAGTATATAACAGGAACGTCTCTGGAGTTTTTTTTCCCTCCTTTGCTGGTACTTTGCTTGTGTGGAGTGACCATTTAAAGTTACAATGGCACTGAAAAAAGTGACTTATGACCATTTTTTACACTTACGACTGTTACAGCATCCCCACAGTCATGAGAGGCCAGGAGAGGAGATGCGTGTCTCGATGTGAGTGAGTGATATTGAGTTGGCCACACCCAGCCAATAACATGACCACCAAGCCATGTCCACCCAGTCACATGACCACCAAGCCATGCCCACCACCTAAGCCACGCCCACAGAACTGGTTGTTAAAAATTTGAATCCCACCCCTGCTGTATATACATTTATGTTTAAATAGTTATCTTGTGTTTCCGAAAAATTAGTACAGGTAGTCCTCGACTTACAACCACAATTAAGCCCAACATTTGTGTTGTTAAGGGAGACATTTGTTAAGTGAATTTTATAACCTTTCTTGCCACAGTTGTTAAATCAATCATTGCAGTTCAGTTAGCAACAGAGTTAAGTCAATCTGACTTCCTCGTTGACTTTGCTTGATAGAAGGTTGCAAAAGGTGATCACATGACCCTGAGACACTGCCACCATCATAAATATGAGTCAATTGCCAGGCATCTGAATTTTGATGATGTGACCATGAGGATGCTGCCATAGTCATGAGTGTAAAAAATTATCATAAGTCACTTTTTGCAGTATGATTGTAACTTCAAACAGTTGCTAAATAAACTGTTGTAAGTAAAGGACTGCCTGTAGTCCATTAGTCTTTTATCAGATATCTGTGTGTGACTTTCATCTTTCTCAACCCTCACTAAGTTAGTTGTTGAGTCTACCATTAGTGGGGCAATTTGTATACAATTTTATGAAATTACTCCAAGAAACAGATAAATAAACAAGAGGCTAGTGTAGAAGAGGGCAAGAAATGTTGGGAATCATTGTCTCAACCAACCAACCAATCAACCAACACCCCCCTCCCCAAAAAATAATACCTGGAAAGGAAATTGTTGTTTTTGGAAGAAACCATGTTTCCTATTTGAAAATGTTTCTTTTCCCAGAATGTCTGATCGGTGGAATCCTGCTATTCGAAAGCGCATGTTGAGTGACAGCAGTTTGGGGAAGATGTCTCCTCATTATGAAGTACCTGAGAAACAAAAGGAGGCCAGCCACGCTCACCTGCTACAGTAAGAGTCCTCTAGATTTTTCAGCTTGGTTCTGAGTTGTTTCCTTAATCAGAGGCAATATAAACTGCTCTTTAAAATGCACTTGGGTAAATTCTCTGCCTTTTTAAAAGCAGCGTCTTTTGCCATATCTGTTTCAACTGCCTTGCAATTTAAGATGAGGCTATATAGAAGAATGTAAGAAAGCTTCACTGATCTGATTCTAGCACAACAATATCTGCACTAGCTAGGTTCACTATTTTTTGTCTGTCTGACTGTTTGACTATTCTAAAGCAGGGGTGTCAAACTCAATTTGATTGAGGGCTGCATTAGGACTGTGGTTTACCTTGGGGGGGCAGGTGGGCGTGGCCAACTGGCTGGGTGTGGCCAGCTTGATATCACTCATTGGGCATGGCCGACTGCGTGGGCTTGGCTGACTGGGCTTGATGTCATTCCCCAAACTGCTGGCATGTTTCCTCTTTGCACTGGGTAGATCGGGCCAAAGCCATGCTGGCCCAATGTTTCCCCTTCACATTGAGTAGGCTGGGCTGAAGCGGTGTGGGCTGGCCCTTTACATTTTTCAGGATGGCCCTATGGGCCAAATCTGACCACATCACAGGCCAGATGTGTTTGTGTTTGACACTCCTGTAGTTTATGTTAACCATTATTTAATGAGCAGAATTCAATGGCTGGATTCATAGATAGTGCTGAGACACAAACCATGAATTATGGTGTTTGAGCTCATCATTGTGCTAAGCTATAGTATAGCAGTATTTGACTTCACTGTTGGATGGCAGCTCCTCTCCATGAGCTCAATTTCCTAACCTCACCTGGAGTTGCCAATGATGGATCTGTAAGCCTTTTACTAATACAGCACATCAATTCAACAACTGTAGTGAATGGCTAAATTTGGGGATGAATTCTAGGGCTAAGAGTTGGGGTTTAACTGTTGTCAAAAACATTTCATGATAGCAGTAATAGCTGAAATGACAGACTGCAGGTCTAAGGAACCTGTATTTCTACATATCTTATTTGGAGTATCATGACCATCATTTTTTAATCTTTCTTCCTTCCTTCCTTCCTTCCTTCCTTCCTTCCTTCCTTCCTTCCTTCCT